GACAATCCAGGCGAGGCATGAGGTCTTAGGTCGGCTGAGTTGGCGCTGATACAAGGATCGAGGTCTCCATCATTTGGCATCACCCTCGCGACAGTGCCTTACAGCCTTATTCGTAGCCTTTTAAAATCCGGCATCACCTCATCTGAGTTGGCGCTCAAGAGCCATGGCTTGGGAGCTGGGAGTTTCGGCGCTCATACTCGGACACTCCATGACGGCATTTTTTGACTCTTGCAACAGCACGAGCTCCACAGGATCAACCCAAACCAAACCACCCAAACATACCAGAACCCAGAAAGACCTCCCTCCTCCCAAGGCCTTTCACAAAGCCATATGAAACATTACGCACGTCAGCCAGAGCTGTCTCAAAACAGTGCAGGCCACTGGCAAGCCCCCCGAAGGCACAAAGTATCCCAAAACCAAACATAACAAGCATGTCCAGAGACAGTCGTCAAAGTAGGAGAGGTCCCATTACAAGACAGAAGCAGTACCAGCTACCTAAAGCATGACAAGGGATGGTAAGCGGCTCACCAACAGCTCCAACAAAAATGCAACTCCGAAACCGGAATCTCCTCATAGAAACGGTTATGCAACTGGAAATGCGGCAAGAAGGGGGCTTAGGGCCTAGGGAGGGGACAGCCATCACCAGTGAATTCGTTCTTCGTGCGCTCTCACAGCGCCAGCAAAAACTCAAAAATCCTCAGGCTCCGAGGTCGAGGTCGCTGCTTTCCATTGATGGCATCGGCCTGGATTGTCACCAGCACCTGGCGCATCACCTTGGGTTACTTGGGTTTCGACTCTCACAGCGTGGGCAATCCTTACATCGCATGAGCAACTAGGCACAGCCGCGCCACAATCACCCATCTGACAGGGACAAACCTCATAATTAGGGCTAAAAAGCATGGAGGTTGCAGTGGGCCAGCTATTGTTTGCGCGACCTCCTGTCCAGCCACCTAGCCCCAAAACCAACCAGAACCGATTAATTACAGGAGGCCTAGCGAGAACACGGAAGGTTCAGCACAGTGGGGTTGAGGCTTTAGGCTTTTTCGGAGGGGGTTTAGAGCTGCCCTGTTTTGGACCCAAGGGCTCCGGGCATAGGATTTTGGGGCTTGGGGCTTATCTCTTGCAACGTCTTCGACTTCTCTTGCAAACTTGCTGCCGCTCTCTCGGTTGGAACCGGAGGCAGGTCACCTCCCGCTTTTGGATTTCTGGGCTCGTCGGGTTTGATCAAGTTTCGGTGGTTGTGTGTCTGTTGGAGTTTCGGACACATGAACATGCAACGCGGAGTATCTGCAATTGGCAAGACAGGGTTGAATGAACGGCCCGTGCCTCTGCATGGGCTGCACTTATCAACCTTAAACCCTCCACCCGCGGAACCTTCTTCTCGTGGTACTTGTGGGCTCATAGAAGTCAGCCAAGCCACAGCCACGTGGCAGCTTCTGAAGCTGCTCGTGGACTTTTTGTCCCGTGTGTTTTGTAGCACTTATGGGGGATAGTGCTGGCGATCATCAATTTACCTTCACAGTTTAGGAGTTGGATATGCTTCTATGCTAAGTCTCCCCTAGCTTTGGTTTATTCTGGCGGGCTTGCAGGATTCGGGCACGCCCCTCTTCTCAGGGGAAGATCGGCTTGATCCGCAAAGAACAGCCGAACCGTGACTTGTCACAGCACGCGTGCCACATATCAAAATGCTTCGACACCTGTAGATCTTACTGGAGATATCTTCTCCTGACCAGCACCAACGCCATGGTTGTGCATATTGCTGGCATAGCTCTTTTTTCTCTTCAGATCCTTAAAGATCGTCTCAAGTCTAACATGCTGGGACAATCATGGTTTTGGCCATGGGGCAGAATGTCCTTCGATTCTTGAAATGTCGGATACCAGTGTCTTCACGCACTGTCATAATTGCAACCTTGACCAAAGCCAGGAACAGCCAGTGCTTGCGCTGCAAAGGGGTGGCCCTTTGCAGGCCTGAAAATGGATGGGAGGCGCTGCAATGCCAATCTTGTCCATGACTCGGTGGTCGATTCAACAGAAGACTTGGAAAATTCATCTTCCTTCGCACCTATGCATCGAGAACGATTTTGTTTGTGGATCCGGGATGTGGCTTGTTGCAGACTTGACCTCCCAAAGGATCTCAAAAGTTCATGCCTTGTGTCTAGGGAGGACGGAACAAGCCGTGAAGACGTGCAAAGCCGTCTGCAGCCACTAAGTGTGGCACCTCGGCTCTGAAACTACGTGTCTCAGGCATCACATCACTTCTGCAAGCGGTTCCATGCAGCAATTCCGCACTTGATGACGATGGGAAGAAGTGTTGTGACGATCGCGCCAACGACAAACTCGAAAAGGAATGGAACGTAGAACATCCAAAAGAGCTCCGCCACGCCAACCCAGTTCGCATTCACCTTGGTCGAAATACGAAGGCCATGAGTCTCCGAAACTTTTTGTACAGCCCTCTGGCGGGATGCATGGAATGTAAGACCTCATTTCTAAGTCATATAAAAGCAATACTGAGAATGGTCATAATCATGAAACGATAGCGATATTTCTTAGCGATATCCAAAACCACAATAAAGAAATCATGACAACAGTAGAAATAATAGTGACGATAACAATAAGCGTCATGACAATATCAATCATAATCACACCGGCGTCCAAAAGCCAGGCCGCTGTCTCCCGCAACACAACGATCTGGCTCGGAGTGTCAAGAGGCTGTGGAATCAGACCGGAGACCTCATGTGACCCGTGCACTCTTTCTCCAACTGCGGAAGCTCCAATACCAGCAGACTTAGAATACTAATGATAATGATGATACCATGGTACTAGTAAAAAAACAAAAATAAACAAAAAAAATAAATAAATAGATAGATAGATATATATATATATATATCTATTGAAATTAGTACCTCTAATGATGATATTACGTAGTTATTCTGACAGGAGTCAGCGGGAGGATCCCAGGCCCAGGATTTGGCGAGGGTTAAGGGTTTTAGACTCTCACAACTCGGGCAATGCAGGCGAGGCTTTCTGGTACACTTCTCGATTAGCCTCGCCTTAGGGTTCAGAAGCCCTTGGGTTTTTTGGACATCAGTCGGCCCCTGAAAGATGCAAGAGATGCAATTCACAAGCAGCCGGGAAGAGCTAAATTGCAGCTCAGACACAATCAGCGAAGCAAAACACACTTTTGCTAAGTACTGCCTCGGCTGGCTGCAGATCGAAACTCCCACTTTACACGCCAGGTTCTTTCTCAACGGGTTTGGCTTTGATCGGCTTAGCATGTCGGTTGAGAACTCGAGACTACGAAAGTTCACCGTCGCAAACGAAAAACGACGCGGAGCGGTCCCCCGGAGGTTTGAGAGCCGAGCTGCAGGTGGCAAGGCACCAGGGCTGCAATCACCACAACATAAAGCCTGGACGCGGCAAAACTGCTGTCTCACTCCCGCTCGCTTTTTGCAGGCATAGCCATTCGGCATGGCATCTGCCCAACCATGCCCCTCTAAGACGTAGTCGCACATTCTGGCCGCAAGTCCCTGCTACATTTTCGATGCGTGGGAAGCAGGCGGTGGTCTAAGCGAACAGTAACAGAGGGGTGCCCGATCACTTCTGTCT